CGTATTTGCATCCTACATATGATTAAAGTGTATGTGCACTTTCTACATGTTTATCATATGTGTACACAAAACCTCTTATTGCCCTTGAGTCCAAATTGACTCATAGCTGACCCTTCAGTGTATGTTCAGAGACTATAATAAAAAAGGAGGAGATGGACCATCTTTGTTCCATGGAGTGGCTAGTGGATTCTAACCACCTGCCTTAGGGTTGGCAGAGCAATTACTTACCCATCAGGCCATCAGAGCTCCATCACATATATGTAATTGTTGTTGTTATTTGTCATTGCCTTGAGTACAACTCATAGTGACCCTACAAACATTAGATTTAACCCTATCCTATCCTCTACTATCCTTATAATTTCTGACACACTTGAGCCCATTACTGCAGTCACTGTCAATCTATCTCATTGAGGGTCTTCCTCTTTCACTTACCCTCCAACTTTCCGAGCAGGATGTCCCTCTCTAAGCAGTATCTTCTCCTAACAACCTTCCTAAAGTATGAAAGATGAAGCTTTACTATCTGTGTCTTCCAGGGCTATACTTTCTCCAAGATATGTCTAGTTTTTTCTGACAGTCCATGGGCCATATTCTGTTCCAATACCACAACTCAAAGGCATCAATTCTTCTCCTATTTATCTTTATTCATTGTTCATCTCTCAGATGCATAGAAAGTGACTGAAAAAGATTATGGCCTGAATCTTTATCATTGCTCTTCAGGATTCCAGGGAGGTCCCTGACAGTAAACTTTCCCAATATGTCTCCTGATTTGATTGCTGGTACCAAGGGTGTTGTAATTATATTGTAACTACTAATGTGCTGTGTATATAGAGTGTATAAGCTATCCAATGCTATGTTGTTGGTGGTGGTGTTGATAGCCATCTAGTGAACCTATGAACAAAAGACCTGAAGCCTTTCTGTAACTATAGTCATTTCTCAAAGTTCATAGTTTCCAGGGGAATGTTGTTTAGGAAGTAGATTCCACTCCTGCTTCCAAACTTGTCTTAATTAAACTGGGAGGTCCACCAAACACTGTACACCATGGGTAATTATTATGGCATTTGACACCCCAGTGGCACAAGGTTCAGCATCACAGCAACCCCATATTACCTCAGTACAGTATATTGACAGATGTGTGCTGTACCACTTAGATGAATATTCCTCAAAATATAAAATCTGACTTTTTTTATTTTTTTAAATAATTTTAATGAACATTTACAGAGAAATTGGATTTCCATTCATTCATTGCTGCACTTCTTTACCCGCCCAGCCCTCTCCCCCCACCCCCCAGTTCACTCCTCTCTTTCAAAAGTAAAAGAAAGACTCCCTCCCTGGTACACAATGCCCCCGTACCCCTCCCACTGCCCCAAGTACATTCCACTATGCAACCTTAATTGTGGACTCTTGTGATAACCATAATACTCTATTATACATCGCTTTTAAATTATTCAGTCCCTCATCTGTTTCAGTGCAGTATACACACTTTATCAAGTTTTTCTCAGTCCTACCCCCACCCTGATATCAGTCCCATTTTACAGCAGTGGCACCATGCAATATTTGTCCTTTTGTGACTGAGATATTTCACTCAACAACCGACTTTTAAATACAAAGACCTTCCACGAGGTCTTGTTGACGCTAAACAAGAGGCTTAAATAAAAACCAACCAATATGTTGTTGGTGATGTTATGTGCCATCGAGTTGCCTGCAACCCATAGTGACCCTATGTACAGCAGCTCTGAATACCTCCTTGTCCTGAGCCAGTGTCACTAATTCCAACACACCAACGCCCATTGCCCTAGTTACTGTATCAATCCATCTCATCTGGGGGCTTCCTCTCCTGCGCTGTCCCTCCACCCTTCCAAGCATAATGTCCTTCTCCAAGGACTGGTCTCTCCTGGCCATGTGCCCAAAGTATGTGAGATGGAGCTTCAAAATTCTAGCCTCCAAGGAGACTTGGTTTCACCCTCTCCAAGAGATTTGTTTTCGTGTCAGTCCATGGTATGTTCAAGACTTTTCTCCAACACCACAACTCAAAGGCATCAATTCTTCTGTCATCCTTAGTCATTGTCCAGCTCTCTGAAGCATTACAAGTAATTGTGAAGACCATGGCCTAGATTAGGCGCACCTTAGTCTCTAGATTGACATTGTTGCTCTGGAGAGGTCCCTGACAGATTTTCCCAATGCAATAATTCATCTTTCAATTTCTTAAGTGCTGGTGTTAAGAGTGCTAATTGTGGAGCTGAGCAAGCTGTATTTGTTAACAACCTCAGTCTCTTCTTCATTCATCATGGTGCTTGCTGCCAATTGGCCCAGTGGTGAGAATCTTTGTCTTCTTGATGTTGAGCTTCAATGCCTTGACCTTCTGCAGCAAGCACTTCAGGTCTTCTTAAGTTTCAGTAAGCAAGAGATTGTGTCAGTTGCATATTGAAGGCTGTTGATAAGAGACCAATCATTCCAATAGGTAAAATCTGCTAAAAAAGACTTTCAAGTGTTAAAAGGCTAAAATATCACTTTAAGGACTAAGGTGCAACAGATCAAAGGCACGGCATTTTCACTAACTTCATGTGAATGAAAAATCTGTACAATTAGCAAGGGTGATTGAAGAATTTTTGCCTTTGAATTATGATGTTGGCAAAGAATATTGAATGTACTTTGGGCTCCCAAAGAATCAAGCAAATATATTTTGGAAGAAGTACTGCTAGACTGTTTCTTAAAGCAAGGACAGTGAGGCTATCTTGTCTACTTTGGGTATGTTATCAGAAGAAAAATATCAAGCTTGGTAAAGGGTCAGAGAAAGAAAAGACTCTCACAGGATGAATCAACATATTGCTTTAACAATACAACCAAACATGGCAACATTGCTAGGATAAAGCATGGCCAGAAATGTTCTGTTGTCACAAACTGCCATAAGTAAGAATCAATTCAATGGCACCTAAAAAAAATGGGGGAAATAAGGAGATGGGTTATGATAGAACTTTGTGGCATGATAAAAACGTTTTCTATGATGAGAGAGGATATGTGTTACATATGTTTACCTTTAAATTGAAGTAGCCATGTGGAGGACGGTGGTGGGGTTGGCAGTACAGATCATATGGAAAGAGAATGTTGATAACCCTTGCAGGTTGGTGAAGATTACAAAAGGAGTTCATTATACTGTCATAATTACTATTAAACATGTAAATATCTGACAGTTCATGATACAAGTTTAAAAAGCGCGAGAGCTTTCCGTTGCACTTTGCCTTGTTTGTAAAAATGAAATTAGAAAAACTTGAACTGATTACCATATCTGCTGCTCTTTGAGCTGCTCAGACTGGGGGGTGGGGCGGAGAAGGAGCAGGAGGAAAGAGACACAGTCTGGAGTTCACAAGGCCCTGGGAAGAAGGGAGGAGGAGAAAGGAGAAGGTAGAAGCTAGTGGGGGGAAATCAAAGGCCCAAGGGGCCAGGGCAACAGTAGCAGAGGTATGAAAGAGGTGTCCCAGAATGGATATGCTCAGGAATAGGACAAGGTGCTGAGTCAGGCCCCAAGACAACTCAGGTAAGGGGCATGAAGATCTGTTCTGTGAGGGTCATCTGCTCTTCAAGTGAATCGTGTCTTTGCCTCAAGTCCCAGTGAGACAAAAGGCCATATTTGTCCTGAAGGGACCTTGGGTTGGAAGTGCCAGACACCCAAGGCAGTGCCTTCTACTCTGGCCAGTGTTGGGGTCAGTGGGGCCTGCCCATCAGGCTAAAGGCCTTCACACATTACAAAACATGTGATCGACCCACACTGTGGTGTGGGTGACAATTCATTTTCAAGAAAAGGACATCAGTATGAACTCAATCCTCGAACCACCCGTGCGTGATGTGTCCCTCGGCCCAGGCAGAATCCTTTGAGGCTTTGTACCCTCTGCATGGTTATCTGGGAGCTTCCAAAATACCCCCTGCTCCCCAAACCTCCCCGAGCCCTCCTAGGGTTCAATGTGCCCCAAGACTCAAAAGTTTTCACTTCCTTGAAACATGCCCTTCCCTGTTCTATCCCAGCCCCTCAGCCTGTTTTAGGTCCCCTATCTGCTCCAGGTCCCCCACGGAGGCTTCCCTTCTTCAGAAGCCACTTCTGGTATGGTGTTCAGAAGCTCTCACCTGCCTGCCCCAAGGCAATTACACAACTGGTGAATACTCTGTGTCTACTTCCCTAGGATGTAAACTCCTGAGGATAGGCACCCCGTTTAGTGACAGTTACCCACTGGAATCGCTTCTCACCAAAAAGCTCCACTTGGTAAGTTAAATTCAAAGTAGATGGCAAGCAACTAGAAATCGATGTCTCTTACATGTCAGAGAATGAATGGAGGCTTCAGTGGGGAGGTCGGTGTGTGCTGTGCAGAAACACAGCAAACATGCCACTGATTGAAACCCAACCCTTTCCTTCCTGCAGAGCATGGATCCAGAGATGAGTTGCGGCTGGAAAGCCTGCTCAGACTGCCAAGGCCAGCACGCTGAGGATGATGCCCAAAGCCGAAGACATGACGGGGCACTGGCTACTCACCTTATTATAGATCGGGGCTTTGAGTTCTGACTCCCAAAACTACCCTGCAAGATGGGTATTGCTATATAAATATATGAGGAAATTGTGGTTCAAAGGAGCCTCTGGACAGTCTACAACTAAGGGCAAGTGCCCCCGCCGCCCCCAGCCTCATTCCCTCAAAGGCTTGTCAGGCTGTCGTCTGCAGGGCCTGTCAGGACATTAGCTCCCTTCATTGATCCCACTTCCCTAAGGGGAACATTAAAAAGCCTCAAAAATCCATATTCAAATTAAAGGGTAGATTTATTGGCTGTCTCTGTTACACAGACAAGTGGAAACCTCTCAAATCCGGACACTGAGGCTTTGCTTTGGGTCCCTGGTGTACCAAAGGACCAACATCAAGTGCATGATTTGACCACCAGTGCACAACAGGAGCAAACTCGCTGGTTCCCATTTCTGTGATTCATCCCATAGTTCCAGGAAATTTTTTGGTTTCATTGTTCTTTCAGAGCATCTTCCTCTTTTCAAACTCCTTTAGAAACAGAGAAAGGAAGAGGAAAAGGAAGATAAAAGATCCAAATTACATTCATGACCAAAATCATAACTAAAATTTCTTATTTTCAGACTCATTTAAGATCCCCAAACTACAAAAGTAGCAACAGAGGTGTTTACACACAAGGAACAGCTTTGATATGAGTCTGAATCAGCTGACATTTCGTTAAGACAGATGCAGAGCTGAACCTTTGTCTCCTCAGGCAGCAAGCAAAGGGAACTTCCCAGTCAGGCATGTGGCACTGAGGTGTCTTCACTGAGGGCTGACCCTCCTGATTGGTTACCCAGCCTGCAAGGCCCAGAATGGACCATACTGGTCCTTTAATAAAGCAATAGGAAAAAAGTTTATGTAGTTTACAAGAAAGTGAAAGACAGACTCCGTTGTGTCAAAAACGGCAAGTAGGTCAGAAATACCTAAAAAAGGGAACAACAGCGGATCACATTCTCTAGGTTATAACAACTACAATGCAATGTGCAGATGTCTGCTGCCACATACTGGCAGAGAGAGGTAATACAGGCCTCCAGGGTGAATTCAAGAATTGCTTCTCTTGTTTCCCCTTTTAAATAAAATTCTTTTTCATATATTCATTCATTTCATTCACATACTACAGCACAGAATGCCATATCCTAAGCTAAGACTATGCACATAAAAAAATAAAGCAGAGTTTATTTTATTACTCACAAAAAATTTAACAAAGTAAGATTATAAGGAATTCTCTGAATACTTTTTCCATCTGGGAAAACCTTTTGTGTCTCTTTTCAACATGTTTAAGAAGTATCTTTTATTTGTTTACAAGACAAATTAACAGGGAAGCAAGCTTTAAATTAATCATTCAGAGAGATTATGGAAGACACCAAATCCATTCCCCTCAGTCCACTAACCTGTTATCCTACTAATTTTTAAAAGGGGAAAAGCAAAGCAAATAGTTACAAAGTTAATAGTCAAGGCTAGGCACAAAAGGCCTACCCTACTTCCCATCTCCTTTCACCTAGTTTCCTAAGGAGTTCTGGTGGCCAAGAGGTAAGGAGATGAACAGCCAACCCAGAGGCATATGGTTTGAATTCACCAGCTGCTCTGCAGGAGAATGATAAGTACTCCCTTCTTGTGTGATCTCTGAAAAGCTGCTGGAGGGTCAGCCATAAGTAGGTTTTCACTCAAGGACACACAGTAACACCAACGCTTCACCTGGTTTACATCCTTGTCACTGACACTTGTCACTGTGACTTCCTGGAGGCACAGACCCAAGTGGTCAATATCGCTCTCTCCAAAGACCTCCGTGGAAAAACAGCATACGGCTGAGAGCAGATGCTCCGCACTGCAAACAGACTTTATGGTACTCCTAGTGAACTTGTAAATGCTTTCTGTGTGGTCAGCTGGCTCTTACCTCACATAGAGCAGCAAACTCTGACAGTTAAAGAACTTTTTAAGTTGGAAAGTTATTTCTGGTAATGTTCACTGGGTCTTTAATGTAGTTTCTAAAGTCTGTTAGGCCCTAGGCTAGAATGGGGAATGAAATAAGAGATTAAGACCCCAGGTTCCCAGCTATTCAGGGAACCGCCCAGGCCACCCCAGGCTCACCTTGTAGATGGTGCTCCCCAGCTGTGCAGGGGACATGCTGATCACAACTCCCGCGTTCTGAAGGGCCGAGATCTTTTCCTTAGCGCCTCCCTTCCCCCCAGCGATGATTGCCCCTGCGTGACCCATTCTCCTGCCGGGTGGCGCGGTTAAGCCAGCTATGAAGGACACCACAGGCTTGGCATTTGGACCCTAGTGAGAAAAGGATATTTAAACAAAGAATGTGATTTCCAGACAACAGTCCAATGAAGAAGTCTATCAAAACTGGAATGCAAATTCATGACTCTGCCAATAATGGAAATGACTGGGGGGAGGTGAGGGAGGTTTTATAAAGCCCATCAATTACTAACCAAATCAACACAGGTCTTTAAGCTGCAACATCTTCCTTGGAGGTGACTCAACTTTTCCACATAAGCTTAAGAAAATAGCCCTGAGCAAGTTTTGGTTTTCCAGTTTGGTGTTTTTTGGGGTTTTTTTTCAATCTTAGATGACATTCTCAAACTTCACTGGTATATAAGCTATGTAATAAGTGCACATGCGACTCTGCCACTTGGAAGGCAGAAAAGCACGTAAGAAAATGTATTACTATGTGGATTGTGAAAGTAATGAATTAAAACACAAGATCAGGTTGTGAAAAACCCTCATCTTATGTCCTTTTGATTTCTAATAAAGCTGTTAGAAAAAGCTAAGCAAGGAAGGTGTTCTGGTAAAGAGCTGGTTCGAGGGGTCTGGGGACTGTGTCACTGTTAACTAACAGTGTGACTAAACGAGATGGCTAAGACCTGGCCTTCCCGAATCCCATGAATCTTAGAAATAGAAAACGATAAGAACTGGTTATATATATATACCATTCTGAGGCACAACCACAACCTTTATGTGCTAAAACATCACAAAACACAAAAATGCTGGTATTCTAGAATCAATGTAGGTTGTTGTTGTTATGTGCCATCGAATCACTTGCAACTCAGAGCGACACTATGTACAACAGCCCTAAACTCTGCTCTGTCCCGTGCCAATCACACTGTCCTGATTATCCCAGTCACTGAATCAATCCACCTCATAGAGGGTTTTCCCCTCCTGCGCTGTCCCTCCATCCTACCAAGCGGGATGTCCCTCTCCAAGGACCGGTACCTCTTTACAACATGTCTAAAAATATGTTAGACGAAGCCTCAGAATCCTTGCCTCCAAGGAGCCGAACGGTTTAACCCTCTGCAGGATGAATCTGTTTATTTCCTAGCAGTCCATGGTACCCTCAATACCCTCCAGCACCAAAGCTCAAAGGCATCAATTCTCCTTCTATCCTCCTTAGTCATTGTCCAACTCTCTGATGCATAACAAGTGATTGCAAAGACCATGGCCTGTATCAGACGCACCTTAGTCTCCAGAGAGACACCATTGCTCTTCAGTACTTTGGAGAGGTCCCTAACAGCAGACTTTCCCATGGCAATGCGTCATTTAATTTCCTGGCTGTTGGTGCCGAGAGTGTTGACTGTGGAGCCAAGCAAACTAAAGCTGTGAACAATCTCGATCTCTTCACCATCCATCCTTGATGCTACCAATTTGTCCAATGGTGAGAATCTTTGTCTTCTTGACATTGAGTCTCAATCCATATTGGAGGCTGCAGTTCCTGACCGTCTGCAGCAAGCGTTTCAGGTCCTCCTCAGTTTCAGCAAGCAGGGTTGTGTCATCTACATAACACAGACTGTTGATAGATCTTCCACCAATCCTCAAGCCACAGTTCTCCTCATAGAGCCCAGTCTCCTGGATAATCTATTCTGCATACAGGTTGAAAGGTACAGAGACAGGACACATTCCTGGCATACACCCTTCCCAATTTTGAACCATGCAGTATTTCCTTGCTCTGTCCTGACGACAAGCTCTTGGTCCAAGTATAGGTTTCGCATTAGCACGATCAAGTGTTCTGGAATTCCCAGTCTTCTCAGAGTCAGCCACAGTTTGTTATGATCCACGCAGTCAAACGCATTTGCATAGTCAATGAAACACAGATATGCATTCCTCTGGCACTCCCTGTTTTCAGCTAAGATCCATCTAACATTAGCTACAATATCTCCAGTACCACAACTCCATCTAAACCCAGCCTGGGCTTCCAGCAGTTCTCTGCTGATGTGCTGTTCCAGTCGTTTTTGGATAATCTTCAGTAGAATCTTGCTTGCATGTGAAATCAGTGAAATTGTTCTGTAGTTTCCACATTCGGTTGGGTCACCTTTCTTTGGGATGGGAACAAATATAGATCTCTTCCAGTCAGTTGGCCAAGTAGTTGTTCTCTTGGTTTCTTGGCACAACTTGGTGAGCACATCCAGAGCAGCATCTATTAGCTGAAATATGTCAACTGGTACACCATCTATTCCTGGGGCCTTATGTCAACTGGTACACCATCTATTCCTGGGGCCTTATTTTTTGCTATTTCTTTCAAAGCAACCTGACCTTCTTCCTTCATCACCATAGGCTCTTGTTCATATGTTGTTTCATTAAATTCTTCTGTGTCTGCCAATTCCTTTTGGTACAGTGACTCAGTATATTCTTTCCATCTTCTTTTAATACTTCCTAGATCATTCAGCAAGTTCAAGGTGAAGCTGAGGAAAATTAAACCGAATCCATGGGAACCAAAATATGACTTTGAGTCTATCCCACCTGAATTTAAGAACCATCTCAGGAACAGGTTTGAGGCCGTGAACACTAATGAGCAAAGACCAGATGAGCTGTGGGAGGTTATCAAGGGTATCATCCAGGAAGACTGCAAACGATCATTACAAAGACAGAAGAGGAAGAAAAGACCAAAATGGGTGTCAGAAGAGACTCTGAATATTGCACTGGAGCGCAGAAAAGCCAAAGTGGAAGGAAGAATTCAAGATACTAAAGAGCTGAATAGAATATTTTAAAAGGCAGCACAGGGTGACAAAGTAAAATATTACAATGAAATGTGCAAGGAGTTGGAGTCAGAAAATCAAAAGGGCTGAACTCGCTCAGCATTTCTTAAGCTCAAGGAACTGAAAAGCAAATTCAAACTTCGAGTTGCTATAATCAAGAATGCTTTAGGCAGAATATTAAATGATCCAGGAAATGTATGTAGGTAAATAATATAAAACACACATATACATAAATTAATAATATAAATTCGTGTATGAATGTATGAATGGTTATGTTATGTTTGACAATATGACATCTTGTTCATAATTGGCCTAGAAATAATAAGATATCCAGGTAAAAAATGAGGCCTGTGTGCAAAGGGAATCTGAGTGCCTACGTTCAGTCACCCATGGGCAGGAAGTTCGAATCTACCAGCTTCTCTGTGGAAAAAGCATGGGGTATCTCCTCCCGTGTCATTTATGGCCTCTGAAAATTCACTGCCAGTTCAACTAGGGTAAATTCTGCCTTGATGGCAATGAGTCGAAGACTCAGTTTCCATTAACTTTTAGGCCAGACCAGAGGTTCTCAAATCATTTGGTCTTGAAATCCTGTACACTTACAAAAATCAGTGATGATCTCAAAGAAAATAATTGTTAGACTTCTGAGGAAAAGAATTATTTTCAAAACAACAACAAAAAACTAAGGAGAGTGTAACTGTTCACATTTTTTACAACTTTCTTTATCAAACAAGTTAATGATAGACAAATGGATTCTGATACTTGTTTTTACATTTAATCTGTTACAACATGTACTTTTTTTTT